TTTCTTTTTTTGTTTTTTTTATTGACTCATTTTTTTTATATATATTTTTGTTGAGTTTGTAACATGTCATTTAAATCTTTTTATATTACGACATCATTATGTTATTTTTTGAAAAAAAAAAAATATATTATGAGTTTATTTGTCCTATATTTTATTTTGTTCTTGCAATCATATGTTTAATTAATTAATTAATTTATCTTATCGGCCAAAAACATTCATCCCCACGTGCATCGCACGTGCACTTTACTAGTATTGCTAATAAAAACGTGAAAAATAATGTAGGAAAAAACAAAATCCTAATATATGATGTGATGGTTGTTTTTATTGTGTTTTTTGGGTCAAAAGATCATAATTGATATTGGACCTTATTGAGGAATTATAACATGTTTGAATGCTCAACTAGTTTTGTAATTTTCCTATGAATTTCAATGGCTAGCTTTCGTTTCCTTATACATTTTTTTTTTTTAATAAGATTCAATGAAAATATATCGATCGTGTTAATGGATGAAACATGAATTGAAACAGGAAATAAATACCATTCTCATTATTTCTATCTTCTTGGAATATTTATTCATTAATTAACAAGACAATCACACAACAATATATAATATATCTACAATATGTCATTACATTGTGTGGCCATAAAGGAAATCCTCCCCTTAGCTATGTCATAAGCCACCAACATATTTTGCTGCTGAAAATTGCCCAAGATGGTGGGCTCACCCTCCTCGGCGGCCCCCATGGCCAAGCACCCGACTCCACTGTCCACCACGAAGTAGCTCTCCGGCGGCAGCTCCACATTGGCCCCCTCGAACGTCAGCACCACCTTTGGGACCTGTATCTTCTGGCGGCCCTGGACATCGAAGCATAGCTCGAGACCCGGGTCGATTTTGCTCCCATTGGCCTGTGGGAGATCGATCTGATGGGCAAACTCCCGTTTCACGTCCTCGAACACGCCCCTCTCGAGGAGCGTCAGCGTGGTCCCAGTGCTGATGATCGCGGGCCTTGACCCGTCGACCTGCACCGGGTTCGCCCCGCCCACGACGATCCCCTCGAGCGGGACCCCGTAGTATGGTCGGGTCGGGTCGGATGCGTTCACGATGAGTCGGGTCGTGGGGGTGCGGATGTCCGCCCGGGCAAAGGCCCCGGCCCTGGGCCCCATCTCGAGCATGCCCTCCTCGTTCAAGCCAGCCGGCGGCATGCAGTAGGAGAATTCAGTCACGCCAAGCTGCGAGACAAAAGAGTGGCTTGTGGGTCCTAGGGCTAGGACCCCCGAGCTGCCGAGGAGGTCCCCACTGTTGTTGAGCCCGCATCCAAACACGAGCTTAGGAATCGGGTCCGAGCCTTCCTCGAACTGGAAGGTCTCGGTGGCAAGCTCACCGATGGACCAACCATTGTCCGCGTACGTCAGGTTGTACATGCATTTATCGTGTGGTCGTCCTTTGCTTGGGCATTCCAACAAGTCGTATGACTTGGAGTTTTTCGGGTTGAAGAAGTGGGTCGGCTTCAGGGAGCACTTATTGCACGACGTGCATTGGATCCATGTGAGGTCGGTGCCGGTGGACAAAAGGGCTCGAAAGGGTTGAGGTGGAGTCCCGATGGATAGTTCTACTAGGTACTCACTGTATAAATAGTTGGGGCATGGAACAATGGTGGACTCGATTTTGCCGGTACTTTTTGAGGCTGCTGCTTGAAGCCAATCCAACCTCTTTCGTCCACGACCTAGAGCAAGCCCCAAAAGCTCGATTTTGCTTAGGTTTTTACCGCGATCCACATGCACTAGCGTAGCGCGGAACTCCATCGTCGGCGAAACTAATACGGTCAAAGTGTAGGCAATAAGAAGGGTTAAGTATGTGATTGTGGAGAATGGAAAATTTGCTAATGACATGATGTTATTCATAAGAATGGTTATTTGGTATTGTGTGAATGAAATATTCACCATTTATTGACAATATATATAGACAAATGTAGGGGTACAACTTTGGATACACAACACAATATAAAATGTGTTTGTATTTGACCTTAACATGTTCGTGTCGTTCTCAGCGTGCCCAAACAGTGTCTTAGTACGCGAATATCGGTGGTATTACGGGACTAGAAACTACAACAATATATATCTACAGAGTAATCAATATATATAGAAATGTATAATACAAAATGCAAAAAGTTATAAAAATAAATGACCCCAATCATTAATTTAAACTTCTCAATGAGACAAAAATAAAATATTCGAACTACCAATTTAAATTTTATGTTTTTTTAAATTAATAATAGTTTTTATTTGTTGACCAATATTTTAGACATGTATTTTCCGCTATTCACGGTATAATTCCGGTACAAACTGGTATAATCATAAATTTAGAATTTTGTATGTAATTGTAACGTATCAATAGTCGTTATCCGGTATTACCAGTATTATGTACGATATTTTAATCATTGACCCAAGGAGTCAAAAAATTGTGTCGTGTTAGTAAAAAAAATCAGTGAATTTTTTTTTTAGCCATTTAGATTTGTAAAACACAAATTTTGGCCACATATTTAAAAAAACACTTTTTTTAGCCATTTTGACACTTAAAATGTCAAAAATACCCTTACTACCATTTTTTTTTTTAAAAAATAATCTCTCTCTAGAAAGGTGATTTCTGGGAACAGAAATCGATTTCTAGTCCCAGAAATCAATTTCTGGACCCAGAAATCAATTTCTGGACCCAGAAATCGATATCTTACCTAGAAATCAAATTAATAACATGAATATGGCCAAAAAAAAATTGATTTCTTGGAACATTGAATGGTTTCTGGGCCCAGAAATCGATTTCTGACCCAGAAATCTGATTTCTGAGACTAAAAATCAATTTTTGGGAACAGAAATCGATTTCTGGGTAAGAAATCCAAGAAATCGATTTCTTACCAAGAAATCGAGAAATCGATTTCTGACCTAGAAATCTAATTTCTGGGGCTAAAAATCAATTTTTGGGAACAGAAATCGATTTTTGGGTAAGAAATCGATTTCTTACCTAGAAATCGAGAAATTGATTTCTTACCTAGAAATCTGATTTCTAGGGCTAAAAATCAATTTTTGGGAACATAAATCGATTTCTGGGTAAGAAATCGATTTCTAACCCAGAAATTGATTTCTGGATTATGTCATTTCTGGACCCAGAAATCGATTTCTAGTCCAGAAATCGATTTCTAGTTCAGAAATCCCTGAAATAATTTCTGGTCCAGAAATCCCTGAAATCTATTTCTTCTGGACCCAAAAATCGAGTTCTAGTCCCAGAAACCTATTTTAAATCCCCAACATGGTTTATTGGATCCCAGAAACAGTAGATACATCCCAAAAACGATTTTCGAATCGTATAAACCATTTGAGTGATTTCAAAAATCATTTTTTGTTCAAATTTTATTTATTTTATTAAAACACTGATTATGCTATTCTTAAAAAATTATTTGGAATTGCTTGTCCGTAAAATACTTTTACATCTTTGTTTTACAGATGTGTGAAAATGTGCGAATTGTGCATAGCGAATTTTGGGATAAGAATGTTTATAAAAATGGATAGGCAGAGATGAACTTTATGCATTTGGGGAGTTTGTCGTTTGAAGACTTTTTAAATAATTATTTGGAATTGTTTTTGTAGTATTTCCCAACAAGTACCAAATACCATATGTATTTTATCCGATACGTTAAATAGAATTGCCATTAAATCGAAAGAGCCAATATACAAAATTCAAAGGTAACATCAAGTTTACATCATCAACGGGGGATATTCAAACCTAAAACCAACAACCAACAACACCAACAACAACAACAACAACAACAACAACAACATACCCAACATATTCCCAAACGGATTGGGGTCTGGAGGGTCAGTTGTACGCAGACCTTACTCTTGTAATTATACAAGGAAGTTGTTTCCATAGCGACCCAAGGTACATTGTGTCGTTTGGTATATTTTTTTTTCTAGAGACTTCACTAATAGAAGAAGCACTAGAATTTAATTGAGTCATTTTGATCTAATCCATTATTAGCACTATGCCAGAAGAATTGTCAACAAACTCTTCCAGCTCCATTTACAATGGACATACAAAACCAACAACCAAAAGAGGCAAAATCGAAAGAGCCAATATACAAAGTTCAAGAGTAACATCGAGTTTACATCATCAACGAGGGATATTCAAACCCAAAACCATCAACCAAAAGAGGCAAAAAATAACAAAATTGGCCACACTACAAAACATCGTTACATACGAAGTCATCCATCTAAACAAAAACTACGAAAAATGAATGTAAAACAACAAATCTTCCAACAAACCAGATGCTCCTACTAAAACATCCAACAAAGACGAAAGAACACAGTACAACAAACATCCAATATCAAACAGAGACAAGAAAGCAGTACCACTGGCATCTAAAGTACCAAACACACCATAATTGTCAAAGTACCAAATACACTATAATTGGCAATAACAGTACATAACATTACATTGCTTAAAGACCCAGAAAATGGCACTGGTGGAGGCTGAACCGTCAAGTCGAACTCCATTCCGAGACGGTGATTACGGGCGGACTTTTCCTCCTCTAACCGATCAGATTACGGGCTTGACAGGAGTGAGTTTGGAGAGATTTTTTAAGTAACGGCTTTTTTCGTCTTGATAGTGAAGAGGAGTTTTAAACATACGAGAGATACTGAAAAATAAAACATGTTATAGTTTAGAGACATTAGAGACGAAAATAAAAAGAAAACAGTACCACAAACATCCAATATCCAACAGAGATACATCCAAAACTGGAAAATTTGTGTAAAAAATATTCTTCAAATGGGTTGTTGGCCCTGTATCTATAGAAACAGACACTTGCACATTTAAAGTTGTGCAACAACTTAAAATCTCTGAGACTAAGTCAAACTGTTGAGGCAACTTATCAGCAAAGAGTATTCCAAGAACAAGCTTCTTTCCATCAATATTCACAAACGAGTAGACAACTTCGTATCTGTTCTCCTTTTTAAGTTCACCAATACAAGCCTGTCGAAAACAGGGAATTTTAATACAGAAAAAGTATCATAAAAGGAAAGGAAACATTATTAGTTCATATGAATTGTTTAGGACCTGAGAAATAGTCATCAGCAGACCCTCCGAAGGAGACTGACAGCACATCCACCCAATCGTTGATGTACCCGAACAAGTCATCTTGCAAATAATGTTTCGAACAAGTAAACGCGTGAAAGAATAAATAATGGGATGAACTGACTCATAATTACCTCAATGATCTGAACAAGCTGGTCAACCCCGCTCTCACCAGGAAATAGAAGCTGAAATTTTCATAGAACTTCTTTAGCCAAAAAAAAAAAAAAAAGAAGAAGACAACCAAAATAACCAACTTGTCTAAGCAACAATAAACAGTTCAGCTAGAACACATCCAACCGACCAAATGTCAATAGTAGTAATGTATTCTCTAGCACCAAAAGATGAATTTAGGCTCTTATCGGATTAATGTCTAGTAGCAAGAATACAACTAATCCAACACTAAAAATTTTCAAGTCTAGACTTCACTCAGTAAGCCCAACTCAATTTCTCCAACCCTACAAAGCCTAATTACCAAAACAACAGCATTGATACCGTTTTTCGCCATATCAATGCATTTCACGACTTCCTTCTCGAATTTCTCATCTCCACCCGAAATATCACACAACCCTTTTCAACACAAAATCACAACAAATTAATGTAATAAAATAAGAAAAAAACGTTTTCTTTCTATAATTCTTGCAAGTTTTATACCGGGAGTGTCAATGATATTAAGAATTAGCCCGTTTTCGATCTTGGCCGTTTGTAGCTCACAAGCGGTGGTGCGGCCACCAAAATTAGCATTGGACTTAAATGCCCTTTTCCCGAGTAAACTGTTCCCGATCGAGCTTTTCCCATTGCCCGTCTTTCCAAGTAAGACGATGGTGTAAACTGATTTCCACTTCTTCCCATTTTTTTGGACAACTAAGCGTGAAAAAAATAGCATTAATTAGCTTCAAACCAAAATAAAAAAAATCTTGGACAAAACTGTGAACTTGATTGTGCAGTTGTGATTTTTTTTTCTTAACTATGATCAGTAATATAAAAATTTCCAATGTGACATCGATTCGTAACATCATATTTGTCTATTGTTTGCTAAAGGTTTGTCTTTTTTTTTTTTTCTCTCTATTCATGAAGATAAATATATCAGAGAATTTTTTTTCCACGCATAATACTTTGAGGCTAGACTATATATCAATCATATATTAAAATCATTCAAACCCAAGTTGGGACATGGCTAAGATAATCAAGTTAAATATAAATGCAAATATATGAGCATAAAAAAACTGGCACAGATGATGCAAATAATCATTATGTAACTCTAATAACAAAATAATGGCAATTTGAAAAGTGTGAGCAAATTCAGAATCATCCATGTCCATATACATAAATAAACTAGCCATATCTGGATCACTCTCTTAAAAGATCGACTCCACAGAATCATCCATGTCCACTCCACAATAAAAATAAACTCACAAATTAATATGCTTCACTCTCTTAAACATCAAAAGGCAGGCACCACCCAATCAGCTAGCAAAACACCATATACAAAACTCACATACCATTTTTCAACAGGAAAAAAAATAAGCAACACCAAAGAGAAAAAAAAATAATATTAATAAAAAGGGAAGGAGTTAAACAAGATAGCAAATCACGAAGTCCAAAAACAAACACCATTCAAACAGCTAGCAAATCACCATACACATAACTCACAAGACAATTTTAAGCTAAAAAAGGCAAAAAAAAAAACCCTAATTCAAACAAAAAAAAGAAAACAATTTCAAACCAATTTCCGGAGAGGTCGTGAAGATTCGTGACGGCGAGGTCGTGTTCGGTCGTGAAGAGTGAAGGTCCGGTCGAAGATTTGCTCAGAAAAGGTGTTCGATTTCTGCTCGTGAGGTGTTCGATAGGACGTTATAAGGTGTTTTCGATTTCTCGTCGTCAGGTGTTCGATTTCTCGTCGTGAGGAGTTCGATTTGCTCAAAAGAGATGAATTTTTTAATAAAAGATATTGGTCGTGAGAGAAGCTCGGGAAAGATGAATTGCAGAGCGGAGGAATTGAAATTGCAGAGCGGGGAAGATGAAATTAATGAATTAGGGGGAATTGAAATTGTGTAAAGCCAAAATTGAGTTAGGGGCAATGTAGTAAAAACACATATCAAAATGGCTAAAAAAGATGTTTTTTGCAAAAGGTGGCCAAAATTTGTGTTTTGTAAATTTATATGGCTAAAAAGTGGTATTAACACAAAAAAAATTGTGTCAGTACCCACAAAAAAAAAAATAATAATAAAATAAAATAAAATATTGTGTCATGTCAATTTATTAACGATGCAATAAGGAGATATATTTGCATTTTTTAATTGGATATGCTTTAATTTGTAACCGCATGTGTGGTATATATATTTTCATATAATATCATGATGATTCAGGTATTAATATGCAATTTTGTATCTACGGTGCAAACGGATGGATTGTTGATACACGAAATCAGGGCGTAGCAAAAATTTATTTTCAATTTTGACTACAAAACTATAAAACGGGCAAACGGAATGTCCGGTAACCAGGCCCGTAAATGAGTTGAGTTGAGCTCGAGCTTAAGGTACTCGAGCTCGACTCGTTAAATAAACGAGTCTGAATTGAGCTTGAACTAGACTCGTTTATCACTAATAAGTAATAACGAGCCGATCTTGAGCTTTAACTATCCGAACTATATAAAATTATATAAAAAATTATCTTTTCGAGCCTAACGAACATTATCGAGCCAAGCCAAGTCGAGCTTGGCTCGTTAACCAAATGAGATTTAATTGAGCTCGAGCTCGGCTCATTTGTCAAACGAACAGAGCCAAACTCGAGCCTTAGTGAGCGGAGCCAGACTCGTTTAATTTAACAACACCACTGGTAACATAGTTCGATTCGACTTGTGACAGGTCGAACTCGACTCACATGTATATTTAAACAAGCTAAATTCAATCAACTAATCAAGTTTTTCTATCAAACAAGTCGAGTTGACCGTGTTCGCGATCGATTAGATTAGAATTTATTTATTCAACGAGTTAAGTCATAGCAACTCGTTTATTAAATACACGAGTTTAAATATGAAGTACTTGACTCGAATAATCTAGTTAGATACATATTATAAAAGTATAAAATTATAAAAAATAATTTTAAAGTATTAATATAAATTACATAAATGACCTATTAAATAGTATTAAAATATGGATATTGTATGTGTAAATTAAAATTAATTATATGTACTTCGTAAAAAAATTTATGAATTGTTAACACTCTTTTATACATATGACTAATCATAACTTTTAGTTGATTAATTATTATTTTTTAAATGCAAATATATTTATTCTCATATACTTGAATTTTAATTAGAAAAAATAATATTATTTAATAAAAAACTGCCATGAGGAGGTATATTTTTTTTTTTTCGGTATAGTGAAGGAGGCCAGAGGCCTAAAAAGAGAACTAGGCTAAAACCCTCCAGGGATGGGCATGTGGCTCGAGCATGAATATGCCACATAAATAAATGAGTGTTGGCATTAAATTTTTTATATACTAAAATACCATTTATTTGAAATGTCAGAAAAATATATAACTAGATTATAAAATCAATAAATTAAGCCGCATACTTAATACTCTAATGGAAGTCTACAACAAGAAATTATTGTCTCGAATAAAATTATTCAAATAAATTCTATTTAACTAAATATTATAAGATAAACACAAAAAGAAGGCAGAAAACGACATAATGAGCTAAAAGGGAAAACGAAAAAGAGACTTAAACTATTAATTATTATTTAATTATAATGATGATATTGAGAATAGTAAGGGTTGGATAAAGGTGAGTTAAAAAAAGTGACTGAATTAAAAATGTTTGGATTTTGTCTAGATTTTTTGTAATCAAGCAAGCTTTAAGGCTTTCGAGATGATAAGTCGTTTGAACGACCTCACGCAAGTGTTATAGCCTTGATTGCATACGACTCGACACGACTAAGGCTTGCAAGCTGAGGTCTCTTGATTGAATGACCTCATAGGAAGGTCGGACAATTATTAAAGCCTTGATGACAAAAACCTGGCATGACTAAGGCTTTCGAAATACGGTCGGTTGTTTGAACGACTCCATAGGAAGGCCGGGAAAGTGTTGAAGCCTTCACGAAAAAAAAAACTCGCATGACTAAGGCTTTCAAGTTGGTCGATCGCTTGTTTGGCAAGTGTTTGAGCCTTGATGGCGAAAATCTGACATGACTAAGGCTTTCGACAGACCAGTTATTCGTTGGAGCAACCTGAGAAGAAGATTGGGTAACAATCGTATTTAACTAACTAAGTGTTGTAGCAAATTATTTTTTTACCAAGTACGGAATGACTCTCGACCTCGTGTCGATCTTTCGAGGAAGACAGTTCAGAATCTAAAATTGGTGTCGATCGCATACAAAAAGAAAATAAATCCTAAATACTCTATTCGCGATTGATTTAGGGAATTAACTAAAACAAGCTAGAACTATAAAAGCAAGTTAAAAAATTAACAATTAAGTTTCTAGAGAAAAAAAAAAAGAAGTTCTAGGGGTCGAGAAAGCTCATCAAGTCCTAAACTATGTAGAACGCTTGTTCGGCTACGAGATTTAACAAGCCTACATGTCTAGAGGGTTATGCTCAATAACTCTTCGTAACAAGAGCACATACATAAACGATAAACTAATTCAAACAAGCAATACATAGACAATACTTTTACGAACATGTCTACTCTATACAAGCCTAAATTGACTGACGTATCCTCTATCGGTTCTAAACGTCGATTAACTAGGTTAGAATGGTGATCAATCAGCTAACCCTATAATTCACACAACTCGCATAGATTGAACAAAACACATTCCCCACAATTCAAAACAAGAATCAAAATCCCTAACCCTAGGTGAATGGATTACCTCTTTCTTGGATTCAATTTCATGTTAACTGGATTTAAGAACATAAAACCAATCAACAATAATAAAACATAATTAAAAAACTTACAATCGGATTAAGAGTTGCAAGATTTCAATCACAATCTCTTTGTTTCCAACAATCCAAGCATGAGAGGAAAAAAAAAAAGAAAAAAAAAATTGGAGAAAACTATCCTAAAAATATTGAGTTTTTGGAGAGAAAAACTAAAAGAAACAATAATAGGGATTATTCTCTAAGTCTAGGGGGTCGTTTTAATATATATTGCTCGAGAAACGGAGCTAAAACGAGAGAAAACGAGCAAAAAAATAAATATAGGGGAGAATGGCAGGGCGCACGGGGAGCAGTTGGCGGTTTCGTTTTCGCGCGCGCGAGTTTGTTCGCGGGCTGTGGCGCGCCTCTGTTTTTCTCGCGGGTCGCAACTCGGGCTGCACTGCACCACTTTACGTTTCGACCTCGTTTGAGCTGGTCCGAACTCGGAATTGAGTTCCGTTTTTTCCTATGTGTTGCTAACGAACTCATCTATTCAATTATGCTCTCGAAACAATTTTCCTGTAAAGAAACTTCGCCCGAAGCTCCCGACCTACACACCAAAAATGACAAAACATAAAAGAAAACCAGAAAAATAAACGAAAAACACCTAAAGACTCAAAATGAAGGAAAACATATAATAAAACACGAAACGAACTAAAAACTAAAGAAGCGACCTACAACAGGGAAAAAAAAGAAAGATAAAATAAACACGAAAAAATGCAACAAAATGGGACAAACAACTCCCCCACACTTAAACTTTTGTCCGTCCCGAGAAAAAAAAAAAAAAAAAAAAAAA